TTTTTTTTTTTTTTTTTTTTTTTTTTTTTTTTTTTTTTTTTTGTACTATTGGTTCCTTGTGTGATTCGCATCTTACATTGGAAAAAATTAGGTTCTGTAGGTTTCACTTTGTTATTTTAATGCGAGTTCTTCATTTATAACCTGGCGTCTGATTTATAAATCTTGTTTTTTAATGATTAATGGGATTTATTACTGATTTTTGTTGAATTCTACATCCTTATACAGTTCAAACTTTGTGATGGCGACTGAATCCAAAACCGCTACTGAGGAAGTTAAGATTGATCTCTTTGAAGATGATGATGAGTTTGAAGAGTTTGAGATTAATGAAGGTTCGGTTTATTATCTTTCTACCTTCTTTCTTAATTCCTTCAGGTTCTTCACTACTGGTTCCACACTTCCAGCGTATATTATTTTTCATACATGGTTTCCCGACGTGCAATTAATAATGGTCTGGGTGTGATTTTGATTGATAAATTGTGGTCTTGGTCCAATGGGTTCTTTATTTCCAAATCTAGTTTTTAAATTCAAATAAAGGGGGAGAGAGATAGAGAGAGGCAAAGTCCTTTTGCTGTTTAATAATTTCTAATCGTAGTAGACTCAAATGGTGGATATGCATTGATCTTGATCTACTCTCAAGAAAAGAAGTAGAAATTCATGTTGAGAGGCTCCCACTTTTATAGATGGAAATGCGGGTGAGGAAGCATTTTTTGTGGCTTGATTGGAAAATTTTGATGGGCAATACATCTGTGCTTTGAGGGAAAGAGATTAGAGGCATAAGGCCATGGATAAGACCAGGGTTGAACCATCATTTTTCATGGTTTGCAGTTGATCCGTTCCATTATGTTTTACAACGTGGTTAGAGTCGATGATTATCAATTGGAATGTAGTTAAAGGTACTTCCATATTCCGGGAGCAATAAGATATCTTAAAATTAAGCATCCAAATCATATGCCTGGTCACTTGATGATGACATCTCATCTAGTTCTTGGACTCTTGAATTCTACTTATCCTTAAACAGAAAAAGCTAGAGTCATGTGGAAATGTTGGAGTTGTTTATAGATACATAGCATTGTGAATAATTGTGCTCGAGATGGCTATGTTTGTCTCTTGATCCGTATATATTAAGTCCTTGTACGTTTCCATTTTGCTCGATATCTCCAGTTAATTTTTCTCCAAATTTTTAAACTCCACATAGATGTGTCATTGCTGGTGCCTTGGACTCTCGCTTGTGCCTTATAAGCTCATATGTTCTGCTCATTTCATTTTCACAATTAGAACATTACATGTCTTGAGCTCTTGAAGGATGTATGTGCTGAAGTTGCTGACTAACGTGTAGTGTCTTGATAATAAAATTGCTTTGTAAAGGTTGGAAGTGATCTATAGGCATGCTAACGTGAATAGATTGTTTCGAGTGCCTTCATCACTTAAGAACAAAGTGGTTAGATACAGAAAGAGACAGAGCTTCTCATCCGGCCCTTACTTTTTATCGGTTCTGGTTGTTAGTTACTGGGTTGATTATCATACAAGTGAAGCACTGTGATACTCTCTGATATGCGTCTAGTCCTAGTAAATCGATTCTAATCACAAGTAACTTGAGCTCATTCCTCAGAGACCTCTCTCTTAGATGCTGATGTCGAGCTTGTTACTCGCAGCTTCTTGTTCATCCTCTCTCTCCCTCACTGATAAAAAAAAAACGAATCTGCTTCTTGATCTTTATGGGTTTGATAGAAATTTGGTTCCAATAGATATACCAATCTAAGCATTCTGTTATCGTAGACATTTCTGATGTTATTAATGATCATGTCAATGACAGAGTGGGAAGTCAAAGAAGAAGGGAAGGAAATTACTCAGCAGTGGGAAGACGACTGGGATGACGATGATGTCAACGACGACTTCTCGTTGCAGCTTAGGAGAGAATTGGAGAGCTATACCGAGAAGAAATGAGAAGAAGTTTTGTCCTTAAATGTTTTCATCTTCAAGATCTCATGTTTTAACCAGGTCTTTTGATCCCATGTACATGATGGTATTATGAAACATTCTTAGGAGCCTAAAACATTGTTACCTTTCACATCAGAACATTGGAAAATCGAGACGTTTGGCACCGAAGAAAACTTCGTTTTCTTGTTGGCACGGAACATGATCTTCGTTCACGAATCTTGCTATGGTTTGCTTGAGATTTATAAGATGTTTCGTTCTGAATATTGGCAGGAATAGAAAACTAAGTTTGTTGTGGGTTTGTTCATTACGTGGTGGTGCATTTTTATTGTTTTCCTTCAAAGAACACATGATGTGTGGACCAATTCTTTGAGGAACAACAGATTTGAAATCCTTCCTTCCTTCTTTGGGTCTAGACCTGCATATGTCTGTGTATAACTGGTATCTACACCTTCGATGTGCGTGACCATCGACAACCACGGTACATCTTGTTCTCGTGTTTGAGGATTCAATGAACATCGTGACATGGTCTTTACCACAAGAAAGATTTATGATTTGAGACGCAAAAAAAATTTCTATCATTGTATTTAAGATGGTTGACAATAGATTTCGGAGGTAAAAAGGAATTGGGTCCTTTTCAGATACGAGAAATGGAGAAAGGTGCAACGCTCGATAATAGAGGAGGTGAACGTTTAGAACGAGAACTGGGTCCTTTTCAGATATGAGAAATGAAGAAAGGTGTAAGAGGTGAATGTTTAGAACGAGAACAAATTGGATCCTTCTCGGATATGAGAAATGGAGTAACGCTCTTGTTCAAATCTCTTCCCCTAGAAACTCAGCCATAAATTCTACAATCTCCCAAGTTCATCCCCTTCATATATTACAAAAGTAAATTATTAAAAAATAAATAATAAAAAAACAAAGAAAAGAAAATCCCCACCCACAAGAAATTCTCCATTAACCCCACTTTCCCCCCTTCTTCTTCTTCCCTCTTAGCCCCTCCCCTTCCTCAAATTCTCCAACTGTGAGCTCCACCCCACTTACAGACGGCGGCGACGACGGCGGAGGAGGCGGCGGCGTTTCATCTGAACTTGATCTCCCTCCGGGCACCGTACCCGGCGGAGGAAGTGGGTGTCACTTGTCAGCTAAACTTGATTGAACAAACAAAAAAAAGCATACCCTTTTCATCTTTCTCTTATAAAGGGTCATTTTGGTGCTCCAAAACCAAGCCAAATTTAGGAACAACAGCGCAAGTTCTGCATATTGGGCAAATGGGTGTCTTCAAAAGCCATGAATCTATGCACTCAACATGGAAGCTATGCCTGCAATTGGGCAACAACCTGCATCTTTCCCCTGTTTTGAAGCCCTCCAAACAAACAACACATTCCAAATCAACGCCATTTGTGCTCTGTTTCTCCCCTGATTTGTACTCATAACAAGGCAGCTTCTCCAAATCCTGATTTGAAAGGTTCTTCCCCAAATTGCTTCTCCAAATCCCTTCCCTTTCTCCTCTGAAAGCTCTCCCCACAATACACACATGGATCACTACCAGAACAGCGATTCCGACCAGCAACAGAACCGCCGACACCACAATCTCCATAACCATAGTACTTGAATTGAAAAACCAAACAACCAACCAACCCCAGAAGTTTCAAAAGGCTGAAAGGTTTTGTGGGTCTGTTCTTGTGTGTTTGAATGTCTCTGTCACGTATAGAAATCACTCATCTTGGATCTTCAAGATTACACCTTTTGCTTTGTTTTATTCACAGAGAAAAGGGCTAGAGAGAGAGAGAGAGAGAGAGAGAGAGAGAGAGAGAGAGAGAGAGAGGAATTTGGCAATGAAAGAGAGTTCTTGAACACCTTGTCCTTTTTTGGGTCACAAATTTCTCAAATTTCTCGAACGCCCTTTTGAAAGTTCTTTCGTATGGATCATTTGAGAGCAGTTTTCACCTCAGGAAATGCAAAAAAGACAAAGACAGTGAGAGCAATTGACATCGAATGTCCATCAGCTGCTTCTGAGTATAAGAATGCCATCACTTTAAGGTATCTTAGAGAGGTAAGATGGTTTATATTTCCATGGTGCGGAAATTTGAGTCTCTACTCTCACGTGTTGTTAAACTAAAAAAAACCCCTTAAAATGAAGAGTAAAAACAACTCTTTAAAGTCAACGACATTCTACCGTGAAGTCAATGTCTTATATTGAACCGGTAAGTTAGATACTATTGTGTGACATCCCACATCAGTTGAAGAGGAGGACGAAAGACCATTTATAAGGGTGTAGAAACATCTCTCTAATAGATGCGTTTTAAAATTTTTGAGGGGAAGTACAAGAAAAAAAACCTAAAAAAGACAATATATGTTAGCGGTGAACTTTACAAATTGTATCAGAGCCAAACACCGAGCGATGTGCCAGTGAAGAAGCTGAGCCCCAAAAAGTGGTGGATACGAGAGGGTGTGTCAGGAAGGACGCTGGGCCCTGAAGGGAGGTGGAATGGAGGGTTCCACATTAATTGGAGAAGGGAACAAGTGCCCGCCACAACGCTAAGCTATGAAGAGGGGTGAATTGTGAGATCCCACGTTGATTGGAGAGGAGAACGAAACACCATTTATAAGGGATGTGGAAACCTCTCCCTAGCATACACGTTTTAAAAACATTGAGATAAACTCGAAAGGAAAAGCTCAAATAAGACAATATCTACTGTTCACAAATGATTGGAATGGTCTTTCCGAACACCAAAATTGTGTAAGAACACAAAAAGAGGTATACAAAGAATTGGATGCGAAATTGAAGTGTTACGTAGACAACAAACCATTACTCATAGCCCCACATGAGAGATGGAAGTGATTGGAAAAAGACAAGTGGAAGTTTTTAATTGTAAATTAGGAGAATCTAATCATGTGTACAAAGTCATATGATTGAGAGAATCCAATCATTAATTTATTACATCCAAATTTTGATTGTCATTGGATTATTGTCTCTTTTGCCATTAGGGCAAACACTTGGATCATACATTTTTTTAAAAATAAATAGTATTGGGTTAATCTATGTTCCTAGTTTTGGGCTTTAATGATGCAATATTAATATAGCTAATAATTTATCTCGAGTGAAATATAAGTATAACAATTCAAGCTCACTACTAGCTAATATTGTATGTGTTGGTTCGTGACGTATCGTCGTTAGTCTCACGGTTTTAAAACGTGTCTGTTAGGAAGAAATTTTCACACATTTATAAGGAATGTTTTGTTTCTCTCTAACCTACCCCCTGAGGGCTAGCGTCCTCATTAGCACACTGCCTGATATCTGGCTCTGATATTATTTGTAAGAACCCAAGTCTATTGCTAGTAGATATTGTCCGCTTTAGTCTATTACGTGTTGTTGTCAGTCTCACGGTTTCAAAATGCGTAAGGTTTCTACACTTTTATAAGAAATGTTTTATTTCCCTCTCGAAATGATTATATTTTTTAAAAAAGATTTTGCATTTTTTATTACGAAAACATTAAAATTTCCTAATTTAAGTAGGAGTGTTCATATGATGGAACAATCCCGACTAACTCAAATTATAAAAGTTGGGTTGGGTTAAATTCTTTTTCTCGATTTGATTGAGGTTGAATTTTTAGAAAATCGAAAAATTCAGCGGTTCGTGAGTTATAACTTTTTTGGTCGGGTCAACTCAACCAACCTGAAAATAAGATTTATGCCTCGACTCAACCCAATCCTAATTTTAAGATTTTTACGAAGATTGAGAATATTTGACATTTGTATTAGATCTTAGTCATGCGTTATGATCTGTGAATATTTGATATTTGAATTTTATGAAATTTTAGTTATTAATGTAACGTGTATAATGTGACTAAGTAGATTTTTTAAAAATAAATTTTTAAAAGAAAAATAACTCGATGACCTAACCCAATTCAACTCGAACTAAATTTTGGGTTAGTTGAGTTAGTGACCCGAATGACTAAATAGCGTTCACAACCCTACCAAACTCAAATCAATATGTGTATACCCTAAATTTTAGTTAAGGATTCCACGAAAATAATAATAATGAAAAAGAATATTTTTCATATTATAAACCAAAACTAGGGTAGCCAAGGGTTAAAAGTTTTTTCAACTATTCACTTCTTTGTCCGTTAAAACATAAATATATATATACATATACCTTCGAGTAAGAAGTCCGAGACATGAACTCTTTTACCCCACATGTCCTTAAAACCTAAAAAAAAAAAAATTAACCATTTGCTTCTTTACATTCTTTACATGAACCCTGAACCCTAAACCCTGAACCCTGAACTCTAAACCCTAAAACCGTGAAACCCTAAACCCTCCTTAAAACCCTAAAAAAAATTAACCATTTGCTTCTTTATCTAAACCCTAAACCCTAAAACCGTGAAATCCTAAACTCTAAACACTAAACCCTAAACTCTAAAACTGTGAAACCCTAAACCCTAAACCCATGAAACTATGAAACCCTAAACCCTAAAACCGTGAAACCATAAAACCCTAAACCCTAAACCCTAAACCTGTGAAACGGTGAAACCCTAAACGTCTTTTTTAGATATCCAAATCCTAATACCCATCACAAAAACTCCTAAAATTAGCCTCCAAAAACCCTAAAACAAGAGAAAAAAAGAATCACTTTAATCCATGTTAGTGAGTAACTAATCGACAATTAAGGAGGTAAAAAGTTAAATTATCACCCACAAATTTGACTTTATCTTCAGTCAATTACCACAGCTATTCACGTTTGGCCTTGAAAAAGCTTCAACCTTTAAAACCCCAACTCCTAAATTTAGTCACTTTCTTCCCTCTCTTTACACATCTATTCATATATACATACCTACAAACATGATCATGTTCTTAAGAAACATTGTTTTTTTCTTACATTTTTACCTTAAACCCACCAAAAAAAACAGCAAAAAAGACAGATCATAGAGGAGTTGCATCCTTATTCCTTCTGTCCATTGTGAATCCCTTATTCCTTCTGTCTATTGTGAATCCTTCTTATTGATTGCTCAGATCTTCGTTTTTTTCTCGTTTTTTTGTTACAATGGTGTATACAGATACAGCCAGAACAGTCATCGGGATCATAGGTGAAAAACTCTAATCAAATCATAATCATAATTATAAGCGTCGATCACTAATCCATATGATTAACGTTTGAATTGGTAATTATGTTTATTTTCCAGGAAATGTCATCTCATTTGGTCTATTTACCTCTCCAATGTAAGCTTTAATTTGAGTTTTCTATTCAAAATGATCGGTAAAAATTAGGGTTTCTGAAAGAAGCAACTTTTCCGAGGTTCTAA